AATTGTAATTCTTTTAACACATTACATCGGCCCAGGAGGTTACATGTGTCTGTCTGTAACAGGTGATTACATTTTGGAGGTGGTCTGAATCACCGTCTGGATGCATTCTCTTTTTAAGGAATGGAATTGTGCCTCGAGGCAGAGGTCTGCTCTCTATGACTGCTTTACTAGTTTTAATACGTTTTTGAAAATACGTTCCGCTGATTGTTGGACCTTTCGTTCTAGTTAAAAGTCCACTCAAAGTCCACTTTACAAACAGCTTTACCCTGGATAAATAATAATAATGATAATGCATCGGTTTTATATAGCGCTTTTCTGGACACTCAAAGACGCTTCACATGTGTCATTATTCATTCACTCCATACACGGTGGTGATAAACTACTACAGTAGCCACAGCTGCCCTGGGGCACACTGACAGAAGCGAGGCAACCAGTATGTGCCATCGGCCCCTCCGACCACCACCAACCATTCACACACACACCAGACTCATTCTAGGCAATGGGGGTGAAGTGTCTTGCCTAAGGACACAACGGCAGTTTGGCACTTTACAGCCGCAGCCGCCCCACTGTGGCTGGTGTTCCCAGAGGTTAAGTGTCTTGCCAAGGACACAACGACAGTAATCAGTGGGAGTCGATGGTGAAAGTCCTGAGCGGGGCTTGAACCCACGAACTTCTGGCTCAAAGGCCAACGCTCTACCAACTGAGCTACTGCCGCCCTTTGAAGGTGCATGTTTATAAAGAACTTAATTTTTCCCCTGGTCCACCACTTGCTTTTTGCTATAGAAATGTTAAAAAGCGCACCTTTTCACTTAATTATTGTTGTATGTTAAAACCTTTCTACTCCTTTTTCTTCAGCGTTCGTAAACCTAATTGGCATTCTGTTTCTTTAATTAGAATCTAGTGTAATTGTAGCCAAAGTGCAAATGTTGCTCAGCCTATAATTTCCTTATTGCACGCTGAGACCTGAAGGGTAAGACTGCAGGGGGAGGAGTTTCATGTGTGAACGATACAAAACAGAGCGTCTCATGAAATATGTTTTGGTTCTTGCGATCGAGGTCAATCATCTAAAGCCCTGAGACGACTGTATGGAGGACCATGGTGTAGGATTCGCAGGATAGAACTTGCCTTTGTCATACACATAGGCTCAGGTTAGCGTTAAAAGAAAAACGTGTTCAACACCCGCTATTGTTGTGTTCATTGATTCCCAAAATGTAATTCTGTCCTTTTGCATGGGGCTGCTCTAACGCTGATGTAAACTATGCCAAGGCTCTTTTGATAGTTTAGCCTACATCAATTATTCTCTAACTTTTCACACAACGATTTAGAGAAGTTTTGGTCTCTCTCTAAGTACCATCCACAACAGACTCTCATCTGGAAGCAAAAATATCAATCCCTTTATCAAGAGATGTACTTTAGACTTTGTTCACTGTACATGTAGCTGGGGTATCTAACCTTTTTGTTTAATAAGTTGAGAGTCCCAAATATTTGGCATTCGCTTTTTTATTATTAATTTGTCTGTCCATTGGCATACGTCACATTCTGCAAATAGCTAACTTCTTGTGACTAATAGCTATTATAGAAACCGTTAAGAATCAATGTCTGACAAAAGAACATTTTGCCAATCAAAAAATATATAAACTATCCATATCAACAGGAGGTTGAAATTTTGTGTTTTGTCTACTTCTAATACACAACCACTTGCATTGTAATTACTGTACTATTGTTTGTTTTGGGCGGCAAATATGGCTGCATGACGAATCCTTATTGTTTTTGAGCACTCGGGCAATTTTCCGGCGGTGGGTGGCCCAGCACTGTTCAAAGAATGCAGGGGGGAAACGGTGACTTCCTCTAGCCTAGCTCCAGTCTGTGTGCATGAGTGAAAGGCAAGAAGGGCCGATCGAGCCGGGCCAGCACGTAATAAGAAACACTTAGCATCTCATAGACACACTCTTGTATCCGCTCTCATAAACCTTAATGACAGAGTGGTGATAAACAGTGATTAGGATGCCCGCGGCCTACTGCTTTTTCTTCTTCAAAAGCTCTGGCAGGTGTGCATACGAAAGAGTCGCATTATAAAAGCGCAGTTCTTAAATGTATGTCAAGTGAACTCGATATGCTAAATGTAGGGACGTCCTCACTGGTCTGAATCCACTTAACTGCATCCACCACATATTTTTTGTTCAAATACTAAGTTAAAGTCATTTGGTGACACAGTTAAGGATAGTTATTGGTTATCAGTGACAAATCAAAGACCAGGGCAGCATGGATGCCTTTAAATCATTAGAAAGTAAAAGGTGATATATTTTAAAGTTTTAAATTCAAGACCCTGTTTAAATAATAAATGTTGATATCTAGATAACTATTTAGTTAGAAAATTACAAACCTCTGTGAATATCAGCGATGCACTACCATGATGTTAACGTTATCATGTGATACAAAATTATAAGATGTTATGTGTCACAAATATCACAATTCATTTCATCTTTATTTGTTGTTAAAATACAGATGTTGTGGTCTCAGAAAACAGTTAGTTAGTTAGTTAGTTAGTTAGCGTCACCATTCTCAGTAAAACACTACATCTGTGCAAGACACTCAAAGTGACAGTTAGAACAACAAGAAACAGTATAGAGACTAACATGACAAATATTCATTCAACATTTGCTGTTATTAATATTACAGTGAACCGTTTTTCAACGGTCTTAAATACAACTTCCATATGAGTATTTCCTAAAGAACTATTGTAAAGCAGTTCTATTCCTTAAAATCCTGGATCTACACAGGGATTCAGATCACTGAATAATAAATCAAATAATTTGTTCCCTGTCCCTTTTCCGAGATTTATTGAAAAGTTTGTGAAGTCCGTCTCAAACTTTTTGAGTAATGTTGCTAAATAATTAGGAAGTTTATAGGGGTTTGTTTGTCTGTTCTATTTTTCAAGGGATGAAACTGATCAATTAGCTCAAGTCAAATCCATATTTCATGGCAATATTTCTAGGAAGATATTGTATAAAAAAATGTATCCGTTCAGTTCAGTGCAGGCAATCTGTTCGGACGGCTCAGGAAACAGTCAAGATATATATTTAATATTCTAAATTTGGTTTATTTTACATTTATGTGTGTAGAAAATATTTTTAGGTGAAAACTATTTTGTGTGTAACGTGTTTTAGTGTGAATCCCATGATTTTGAGACCGTGCCCCAAAGCGCCTATCACCACAGGCAGGAAAAGTGGAATCCACCCTAATATTGTATGATTTAATGAAACATATTCAAGTCATTTCAGCGAACAGAAGAGGAAAAATGGAGGAGGACGAGGAGGGATGAAACTGAATTTGTGTGAAACGTATGAAATTAGCAGGAGATGAGAAGTGAACAGCTGTGGGTGTGATTGAGTGATCAGTGCAGTCATTATGGAGTAACAAGATCCAGAGCACTTACACACACCATTTCATCCAGTGCCATCGCCTACTGTAAATGACTTTTTATTGGAATGTTTATGGAGAAAACAAATAGGCTTTTCATTTTTCAAGCAACAGTGGAAATCAGTGAAAGATCCCAAATGACATGTGAAAAAAAACACAAAGGAATGGCCATTTTGCTCTAAAAGCCATATTTACCATGAAGCAGTGGCCGCCTGTGCGTAGAGCTGATGTTGTACCAAATGAAAGAGCATGTGGCCGAACGTGGGAGGTGAGACCAACACATTGTAAACAGTGGGAAAAAGCACTTCCATTTCACTCCAAAGCATTATCATCCTTTGGACTATTTCATATGAATGCTACATTATAGAGCCTTGTGTTCCATTTATTATATTTTGGATTATTCAAACCACACAAAAATAGTTCTAAGAATGCAGATATCTTTTTGGGTCACCAATGAAAATCTTCTGTTTCCATATTTAGATATACTGATGATTTGTTACTGACACACAGTGAGATTATATATTGTATTGTAAGCTTGGCTAAATAATTGCACTTGCTTATGATCTTTTCACTTTTGGAAGAAAAAGTATCCGTGTGGTGCACTGAAAACCTTAGTTTGAATGCAGCTGGGAATGTATGAAACTGTAGACTGAATCTAGGTCGCCAGACTTTACTCCTAAACTTTTTATAGAAAGTCTAGTTCAACAAAACATTTTTAATAGCCCCACGGATAAACCTGCACTAAATTTCACATTTCCTTAAGTGTTCCATTCTCGTTCACACAATCTTTCATAACGATGCAGGAGAGGCATATTAAATCCTGTTTATTGGTAAATCTTAAAGCCAACCTCTCAGTTGAGCTTTGGAAAGGAACATGTTAAAGGGCAGTGTGTGACAGCAGTACCATCTCATCAGCTCAAATACGAGTCACAATTCAGAGCAGGCAATCTGCGAGGACAGCTCAGGAAAAAGATGTGCTCAAATGAAAGCAGCCTTTTCACCTCCACCTGTCTGCACAGACGTGCATACAGTCAGCTCCCATTTTACTGGGATCCTGAATCGTAACAGGACTGCCCTGTGCCAAGCCTGCTCTTCTAAAGATTACAAAAATCAATTCTATTGTGATCACATAAGGTGACTGGGGAGGGCTTCAATCTTTCCATACTCCAGTTTCCCATCTTTGCCTCCTGTCTTTATGTTTGTGTCTGTGTAAGCCTTGTCGATTCCCTGTTTTCAGTGCGTGTCCCCTTTCTCTGTGCACAAAAGGCTCATTTTGCCAGGTTTAGTGTGACCAGGCGCTCGGTGTCGCATGGGAACAGCACAGGCAGAGCAACAGAAACAAATGAATGCAGGGAAGGACTATTATAAAGTAGTAGTGAGCATGTTCCTGTAGATGTAATTGACTGGAGAAACCATCTTCTCTCCTAATCCCAGTGTAAGCCATGCTACCTACTCGGTATGCAGCTCAAGTCCCAAAATATGTTCTCAGAACGACTTCAAATTACATTTCTCTGGATGTTGTGAAGTTTCTGTGTGTATTTTTTACATTGCCTCACATGTATTTTATATCTCCTCCGCAGAGGTCTTGATGAACACCAAGTCAGAAACGTCAGATCTCAGATGGACCATCTTTTCCCTTGCCAAGCCTGAGGTATGTAACCCAAGAATCACTCTGTTATCTGTATTCCTAACACAGACCTCATGATGGCTGGGTTTTTTGGCTTCCAGCTGTTCCTTTGTTACTTTGTCTATAAAAGAGCTCCATATATGGCAGGTAACAGAGAGCCAAAGAAACACAGCGCGAGCACTGGGCTCAGTGTATTAGAAACATGTGCTTTGATTTATCCATCAGTCTTGGCCTCCATGCCCGCAATTTTGATCATTTGAGTCAGAAAAAGACATATTTGTAATGTGATCAGCTGAGGAGCGGTTGCTAAGGGTTTGTGTGCCAGCAGAATCAGTGACCAAAATCTCTCCTCTCACTAATGTCTCTAAGGCAAAATGGTTAGAGTGATGCTGGCAAGGATATCTTTGAGACAGGACGGAAACACTCGCTACTCCTCAAATGTGTCTGCGCCTTTGATTCAGAAAGTGAGGAAGATGATTGGTTTTCAGAAGCCTTTCATTTGCATCAGTATATCAAAAGTCCCATTTGTAAGAGTAAAAATATGGCTTGATTAAATTTCTTAAAGCTGTCCTCAGTTGAAAAATTCGTTGAATGACAAGCGCGATTGGACACACAGTGTGAGCTTTTTGTAATTTAAAAAGTGCTTTCATTTCATTAACATTGTGGAAAGGGGTTCAAGCTTTTGGCACGGTTCACGTCTATTCTAGCTTTTACTTTTCAGCGCCGTTGGTTTAGACGTCTGATCATAACAAATGTGTACACAATAGCTGAGTGACTCACAGCAGTTTCAGCCATGTAAAAATGTGTACAGTATCTCTGTGCTGGGATGAGCCTTGGCCCCCGAGCTTTCTGTGTGAACCACCGCCACAAAAGAAAGAATATGACGACTGCTCGCTTTCTGTTGTGGTATCAGCCCGTAGCCTCCCAGAACAACCACGGCTCCAAAGCTTGAGGTTTAATCATAAAATCTGAGCGTTCTCAAGCTGTGGGATGAAAGTCGCTTCTGATAATAATTAAGAGTATTTCCCTTTTTTGGGTCCTGTTTCCCATTTGTTAATGTAGTTACTATAAAAAGGAAAAACAGATGAAGTACGTGGAGGAAAGAGCGATGCCTCAACATTGTGTAGTGGGAGAGAGGTGTTGGGTCAGAGTGTGTTTGGATCCGTGTGTGCGTGTGTTTGTTTGTTGAATGTGTAACTTGTTTATTTTAATGCATGTGCACAGACTTGAAAATAAATGAATGAAAAAAAAAAATTGTGGCAGTGATTCATAGATTTTGTCTGGGTGTTACATTCAATAGATTTGAATGTATTTTTCTTGTCTTCACTTTGTGTGGAGAAGTGAATAGAAAATAGTGATGAGTGCTATCCACTCAGCACGGTGGCTGAGTGGATAGCACTCTTGCTTCTCAGCAAGAATAAGGGTCGGAACAGGGCATTTCATATGCGTAGGTTTCCTCTGGGTACTCCGGTTCCCCTACCACTAAAAACATGTACAATAGGTCTGGCATGTGCCTCCTGTACTGGCGCCCCCGCTCCCATCTCTGTGTGGAGTGAGAGACAAATGCCCACAATTGTAAACCGCTTTGTGACTCTGGTCTAGGACTGTGAAAGGCGGTATATAAATAAACATTACTTAAACACTTACTTACTAGAAAACACATATACTTATGTCACTCTATCTTTAGAGTCTATCTATCACTCTATCTATCTCTATCTATCTATCTATCTATCTATATATATATATATATATATATATATATATATATATATATATATATATAGAGATAGATAGATAGATAGATAGATATTAGATATAATATATTATATATCTAATATTATATATATATATATATATGTATATATATATAGATATAGATATAGATATATTAGATATAATATATTTTATATATATATGTATATGATATATATATATAATCTGTACATTTATATTGAAGCATCTACAGCCAGCTAAGAAACATAGCAGCCACTTATATTGTATTTTTGTGTGCTCCCTGTGTTCTCTTACTACTGTCCTGTATGTGCGCTGCAACATTGAAATTTCCCTGCAGTGGGACGATTAAAGGTTCTATTAACATATCTTATCGCCGTAAAGATGGCGCCGTGGCAAGAGCTCTGGTGTGTGTCGTCTGGTGCACACTGGGGTAGTCTTGCACAATTTTTCCTATGTGGTTTTACTACAAATGGCAAATAAATGAATCTGAATCTGAATCTTCTTTTTGTGTGACCTTGGTCTTTGAAACACACTATATAGAGATACGTTTTACTTACTTACATAGTGCCTGGCTTAACAAAAGGTTCTTAAATATACACTATAGCAGCATTATATGTGTACAAATGCATTACTATGCTGTACACTGAATGCCACTGTTTTCACCTGTATCGTTATTCTGGCATGTTATCTGTACTTTCATCTATGCGCCTGAAGTAAATCATATATAATGATTGCAGTGAGGACCTTCAAAGCGCCCCCAAAGCCATCTCCTTAAATAAATGTTGTCCAAATCCCGTCTATACTTAGGTCTTTATTTGTTTACTCAGTACACAGTGGTGCATGTAAGATGAAAGGGAAGTTCCCAGAGCTTTCCGTAAAAAGATTCAGACCTGGCCCCGTCGCTGCACAGTAATTCATTCAGACTGGTATCCCGCCTCACTCCACACATCATCTGCAAATGGATTTTTGAAGATTTACATATTTACATAACTGAATTTCTGAGCTTCAAGTTTGGGAAATCTGCTAAATTCTATCCCGACTCCTGACTATGTTAATGTCTTGCTTGTTTGCTCCTTGTGGGAACATAGTGATGCTGAATATGTTTTCAGTTGACTTCAAACAAATAATCTTTCTGTGCTGCATATGATTCTTCAGAGAGGCTGCACCTTATGGTATTTACCTTGTCCCTTTACATCCCTGTGTTTTTGTTTAAACCATATTTAACCACTTGAAGCTGTATCTGTTTTGGAGGGCTTGTGCTGCTGTGTGCCTTGTTTGACAAGTAAGGCCTGTATTCCCACTTGTGGAGACTCAGCTCAGCAGGACAAATGATTTAACCACTTAGATTCAAATTTAGCTTGGTCTAGCCTCCACAGCAGGCCTCTTCTTCCCTACACGTATGTGTCAGCACAGAGTACAGACAAGACCAAGTACTCTTTGAATGCTGTTGTGATAAAAACAGCTTCTTAAAGGTCCATTTCTTTTTAGACACTGGTAAAATGTTGTAAAGATTTGTAGAGAGTCTTGTGAAAGTGACTGGAATTTTATAGGTCATGAAGAATGTTTGTTCTATGTGTGCTTTGACAAGCCTTTGTTCTCTCTTTCCTCGCAGTGGGAGGAATTAAGCGGTTTGGATGAAGAAAGTAACAGCGTGAGGACTTATGAGATCTGTCAGATGGACAGCTCATCCAGCCAATGGCTGCGCAGTGGCTACATCCAGCGCGGAGATGCGTCTCAGGTGTATGTGGAGCTGACATTCACCATGATGGAGTGCTCCTCTCGGGGAACTCACCACCGCAGCTGCAAAGAAACCTTTAACCTGTACTATTACGAAGCTGACACTAACGAAGCCACTGCCACTTACCCGCCCTGGATGGAGAAACCATACATCAAGGTACGGCCACATCTTCTACTAGTGGAGTTTGCATGTTCTCCCCGTGTCTGCGTAGGTTTCCTCCGGGTACTCCGGTTTCCCCTACCACTAAAAATATGTACAATAGGTCTGGCATGCGCCTCCTGTTCGGCGACCCCGCTCCCATCTCTGTGTGGAGTGAGAGGACAAGTGCCCAAAAATAACAATTGTAAACCGCTTTGTGACTCTGGTCTGTGAAAGGCGGTATATAAATAAAAGCTTACTTACTTACTTACTAGCTATATTGTTCAAATATATCACTTCACAGCAAGATCAGAATCAGATCATTGCGGTAAAAGCATTTTCTGTTTTTCATGGATTACCTTCCAAGGTGTTATTGTTTCAATAGATAAAATACTCACAGGAATATCCAATCTATTTTGTAAGCCCATTTTCTGTCCTTTGGGTTTCATTTTCACAACAAATGGTTCATGAATGCAACACTTTTTTCATTAAACCATTTCAAAAGCGCCAGTGTGTTTTTACAATGCGACAAAACACAGTCCTCTTCTCAACTTTACTACCTTTTAATAATGTAACTCTGACAGAGAAATAAAAGTGATGAAATGTTCTCTGTGATGAATCACCCATCACAAGCACGTTTCAGGTCCCCATAAGTTCAAAGCACTCGCTCTCTAACAAATGGGGAACAATGGCTGCCAAGAAGGTAAAGCATCAATCTGTGCTTTGTAAAGTAATCAATAATCTAAAGCATGTGTTTAGTTCAAAAGATAAAATGGCAGAAACATACAAAACCACTGATGCTGCTTTTAGACTGAGCGTTGGACGCCTGCCATTACCTAATGATCTTTTGTTCTCCTTCCTTTTTTAGGTGGACACAGTCGCTGCAGACTTTCTCCTGAAAAAGGGAGGGGTGAGGAAGTCCAATGTGAAGACTTTAAGACTTGGTGCCTTGTCCAAAAGGGGATTTTACTTGGCTTTCCAGGCTCAAGGGGCTTGCATGGCTCTGCTTTCTGTCAGGGTGTTCTTTAAAAAGTGCCCGCCTCTGGTCAGCTCTCTCTCCTCTTTTCGTGAGACCGTCCCACGTACCCTTGTCCAGGAGGCCCAAGGCGTCTGTGTGGAGCATGCCTCACAGCAGGGGCCAATTCCCCGCCCCCCAAAGCTCTTCTGTGGGGAGGACGGCCAGTGGGTGGGCCAGCCGACCACAACCTGCGCCTGCCTGCCTGGGTTCGAGCCATCTGAGGGCAACACTAGATGCACAGGTAATTGCATTTATGGTCAAGAATGGACACAAGCATGACTGCATTGAAAAGGAGAAAACAATGGTGAGATGTGGGTGGGGTGCACTCAGAGACTAAGGAGGAAGTTAATGAGGCATGGGAACAGATGTGGCTCTGAAAGAAGCCGGAGAGGTCAGATGGAGCAGCACTTATCTCAGAAGGGAAGAGTGGGGTCAAACGCTCGCTGCCGGGGCAACTTATGTTTTGCCTTAGATAGAGCTTGTGCAGAGGTGCAAGGGCCAGTGGGGTTGGTTTGTTGGGGTTAAGATCATATCAGCGTGAGAAGATCAAAGCCATAAGACAAAAAGAGGAAGCACCAGGGTGATTCTCGGAGGAGTCACGCAGCATCTCCATCTAATGAGTCCAATTAAGAGGCTCGGTGCAGATAAACCCCCACATGAGCACAAGCAGCACCACAACACATAAATATTAACGAGTCACAATCCAAACATGAGAGATAAAGCTACATTTTTAGAGAAACCGCTCAGTTGCATCAGTCCTGTCTGAATCTGAAGGTAAGGTTTAGTTTGATCTCCATAGGGGGTATAATGAATTTTCATAACAAAAAATGTTCAACGTTTTGCTTGTGGTGGATTTGAGTTGGCATTTCAGACGCTCTGTCACTTGAAGAAAGCTGCTGGGAAGAAACACGCACACAGCCATAAAGGGAAATTGCCTTTAGAGAGAGATTGAACAGTTAATTTGCTTCTCGCGCCAGCTATTTCAGAAAATGAAATTGACATCTAGGTTTATAATTAAATAATTTCTCCATAATGGCATTATCTGTTGTAGACAATGCCTTTTTTCTGGGTCAAGCACAGACTCTCTCTAATGTTCAGCCTTGAAGTGCATTTAATAGGGCAAATGCATTCCAGACCAAGAAAATAAACTTGCGTGAGTTAGTGCTTTGTAGTCCTTATTTGATTATTTAATTGTATCTATTTTAGTTGTTCCCATGGTGATAGAGTAAAAGAGAAAAAACTCATTTTAGTTAATGTTGTAAAGACAGGTAATAAGAGTTATTTTAAGCACTCTTCAGCTTGTTTTTGTGTGGAAAAGGTCATTTGGAGAAACACAATAATGATGTTAATTAGTGGGATAGGCATTGTTGTCGTGTGTGGGACCAGTGCTTGGTGACCACTATTATTAGGCACTTGCTTTGAGTCAGGAATTGTCTGACGGATCGATCATTTCTGCTGCACTGTGTTTGGTCAAATAACTATTTTTTTTACCTTAGAAAGTTACAGCTCTCCACCAATTATTTTGTTTTGAGCGATTTTAGCATGCTGAGCTGTGGAGAATCCGACTATTTTCTCTCTGTCCCGGGCCTGACCTTGCAAAACAGGTCTATGCCAACTCTGCCCCTCGCGATGAGAATGAATGTTTATTGTTTTAATCAAAGGCTGTTGCTGCACTGAGCGAGAATGTCAACAAAGCACGTTTGGATAAGCGTGTATGACATTCAAATGTTTTGGTGAAAAAGACACAGGCAGAAAGAGAGCAACTATACATTTGTATTACAATTGTGAGGATTAGATTTTAAAATAGACTCAAGTTAGGTTTGATCACAGGTGAAATTTGTTTATAGTTAAAAAGTTTATTTCTGTCCAACTCACAATATGAAACCAATGTATCATAAAGACTCATCACATGCAAAGTGACCTATGCCAAATGTTTGTTTGTTAGAATTTTTATTTTAATGATTATGGCTTACAGTCAAATTTCAAAAGTGTATTGAGAATGGAGAATACATTTTATGATATCATTTATTTAAGGATTTTATAAACTGCCAATTATCAACATCATAAGAAATAATGGTTATTTGTATGTGAGAAAATTATTAGAGTTTCATCTGTATAAGAATGAATCATTATCAGACGTCATATTTGTATTCAGTGGTTCCTTTTCCTTTCTATCAAACAGGTTTCCCAGGTTGAGTAAATATGCAACACATTATAAATCTCCTCTGCACTTTTCTATGCTTGTTGAGGCCCATTTTCCCACTCCTGTCTCTTTGCAGTTTACTCACTGGCTGCCGTGTTTTTGTGGAGTAGCTGGAAAGTATATTTGGATCAATTATCCGAGGCAGTTCAACATTAGGGCTCCCAGATGCTTGTTGATTTGCAGCTCATTATTTAGAATGGGTCGGACTCACTTCTCTGAAAACAGTGCATCAATGACGAGCACATTTGTCCCCTTAATCCACAACTGACAATCAGATCCAATCAGCACTTGCCTGGTTTATGTGAAATGAACTGTTTTGCTATGTAGCATGTTGTTGTTAAAATGTAAAGGGCAATACTAATAAACTCCATTTTTATTATTATCACTTGTCCAGCCTGTCCAGTGGGTCAGTTCAAATCGGGGACGGAGGGCAGGTGCACAATCTGCCCTGACTCTAGCTACACCACCATCAGAGGCTCATCGGAGTGCACGTGTCGCCCTGGGTTTCTGCGCTCACAAACGGACGCTCCTGATGCGCCATGCACCGGTAAGTCATCCAACATGTAAATGCATGCATGTCAGAAGTTGGGGATGGATGAATGGTTCCACACAGACACATTTTGGTGCGGATTCAAGCATTAATTTGCTGAAATAGAACCGTACCATCAATTCAAATCCCCAAAAATAGTAATAATGCAGTATCATTATTTTAAGTATATACAGTAGGTCCTAAAATGTCGTAGTGTAGTGTACTATACACATTTTTAAAGTACTAAACATCCAAGTAATCATGTTTGTGTCAAAGTGGTTGTAAAACAAAAGTGAGCGATGTACGTTAATTAATACATTTATTCTAATCGGTATAGAAATGGTGCATCTTCTTGTATATTTTATCTTTTCAATAGTAACTACACATGTCCACCACCTGCCTCTTGTCGAGCCTTTTCTTCCCTGCTCCTCATCAGTTTTGCTGCTTTTGTTTTAAAAAGTCTATGGCACATTTGTTTTAAAAAGTCTATGGCACTTTTCTCTTGTGTCATTTAGCCAGTCTCCTGTAATCTGCTTTATTGTGCTCTTTGTGGCTCTGGGGCCATTCAGATGCAGGTCTTTGTGGCAGCGGTTGGAGGCAGGGCAGAGAGCCTGAAGTGAAGTAGCACTGATGGTCTTAAGTGACACCTCCATGTGGACGGAGGAATTTCAATTCAGCCACATGTTGGATGTGTGAAAGGAAGGCACGTTTTAATGAGCTGCTGAGCTGTTAAAGCCACAAAAAGGAGGATGTGAGGCCCTGTTTATACTGAGACGCTGCGCAGACGTTTCCAGGCTATTAACAGAAACGACCTGGCTCCTAATGCAAATTTCTCAGCGTTCACATGAGGTTGAAAAACGATGTAGTTCTAGCGCCCGGCCAGTAGTGGGCAGAGAAACTTTACAACACGACACACGACCCCGAGCCCCGTGCCCAGCCCCCCTCTCTGCAGTATACTCACTTCCTGTGCCAGACCCTGCGCATGTCCAAATGTACGTGCGGGGAGCAGCAGGAGGTGGGGGTCAGAGCAGAGGGGGATTTCACACCTTTTCCCCTCTCGCGGGTGTGAAAGAGCCCCCGCTGTGCAGCGTTTCTGAGTTGTCCCACTCTGCAGGCTGGATCTGAACTCGTACGTTTTCACCCCCCTGGAACACAGTCTTCGTATGAACGCTTGGTAGCAACCGACATCCAACTATACCGTTTTACTGCCACATTGTCTCCGTGTAAACTCAGCCTGAAACTGGCATCCGATTGTTGTCGCTCTGCAGTCTTAACTAGAGTCACCAGGGTTAACTAGAATTTACATCCGTATAATTCATTTCTAACCGTATCTGTAATTGCAAAAAAGAATCATAATTATTCATCACTTTAAAAGTCCAATCTTATTATAATTTCTGTTTTTGCTTTGTTATTATCTCATCCAATTCCGCTCATAGCTACAATTTCTTGGTATTTTTGTCAACCAAGTGCTGCCATCTGTAAATCTAAAAAGTTATATTTCCCAAGTGTTTTTCCACAATGTGCTGTAAAAATGGATTCTTCCCGAATATGAAGTCATAAACTGAATAGTACTTCCCAAATGTTAAACTCTGAATTTATATGCACCCAGATTGACTGTGATTTTGCCCCTCTTGGGCTTCCAATGGGAACGCTATTAGCACTTAAGTTAGCTCCAGGCTCACTGACAAAGCTCTGTCTCTTTGGCAGGGACAGAAACTCACTCGCAGTAGCTGCGTAAAGCTGTTTCGTTATGCTTGGCTTCAGGCAGTAGCCATCTACTGACAATTTCAGACCATGATCATTATCATCTGGTTTAGACAAATGTAATTCCACCAGTTAAACTTTGCACCACATATGCTCCATGGAGACACACATGCTTCTTAGTGCAAATGTATGCATGCCGAGTAACTACAATTAATTGGTTTTTATGTATGTGTCCCATTATTAAAATTCAAGGATTTGAGTGGACGGAAACAAATTAAACTGTATGAAACTGTGTGAATACAGCTAAACATTAAAACGTTCGTACTGGTCTTGTCACTTATCACTTTCCGAGCCAAAACAAACAATCAAACCGGTTTGACCTAAATTAGGAAAGTACAGTTGATTGTTGTCTGTTGAACCATAGTCTTGAGTGTCTGCTAAGAAATTATGTTATACATATTATTCTTTAGCTTTTAGAAAAAGCCACCTTTTTATTTGTTTTGAATGTGCCGCGGATTAACAGGGCTAACTTTTGTAACTTTTTGTCTTTGCAGTGCCCCCATCTGCCCCACGCAGTATCGTCCCCAAGATCAACAACACGACTCTGACCCTGGAGTGGAACGAGCCGCTGGAAGGTGGTGGCCGCTCAGACCTGACCTTTTCTGTGCGCTGCAGCGTGTGCCGCTCATCCAGAGGGCCGTGCTTCCCCTGTGGAGACAGCGTCAGCTACAGGCCGTCACAACGCGGGCTGGTGGAACGGAAGGTGGAGGTCTGGGGCCTGCTGCCCCACACCACCTACACCTTCACTATAGTCGCACTGAATGGGGTGTCACAGATCAGTGGCAGAGAGCCAGCCAGTGACAGCGTCAACATCACCACGAGCCACGACGGTACGAGGAGAGACAGAAAAGGACAACGCTGAGGTCTTTATGTGTTTTAATAATTGTCCTGTTGTGTGCAGTTCCAGCGCTGGTGTCTGTGATCCGCAAGAGTAACTCCACTGAGAGCAGTTTGACTCTGCACTGGACCGTACCTGTGCAGCCTCACAACACCATTCTGCAATACCAGCTCCGCTACTGTGAGAGGGTACGGGAACTAATAAGAACATCTTCATTATTAGGCATACATCTTTTGGTCTTAACTTTTTGACAGAACACAAATACTTAAATCATATCACTACTCCAGTCATCATAAATGTGAATTGAGATGGAGAAATAAAAGGAAATTCAACACAAAAGCATTAATAATAAATGGAAGGACCGGGCTAATTCAATTTAATGGGTTTTATTATATTTTTAATAATGGTTCAACAATGGTTATACAGTGCATACTTTGGATTCTTTTAAAAGGTATTCGGTCCTCCTTCTGTCACCCCTGTCTGTCCCTGGACTAGTTTGCAGCGTGACTAACTTTATTTTGTCCCTTTAGGAGCGCCGTAGCGAGGACCAGTGCTTTTACACCGAGAGCAGCAGAAACCAGGCAGTGCTCACAGATCTGCGCAGGGCCACTCAGTATGAAGTGCAGGTCAGAGCGCGGACCATGGCTGGATATGGCAGCTTCAGCCCCACCGCCATTTTCCGCACGCTCCCTGATGGTAAAAACATTTTTATCATATCTTTTATTCATTGTCCAATGGCTGGAGGTTTTGTGGAGACCTTGGTCAGTAGTCTGGCTTTGTCCTTCTTTAGAAATAGTTTCACATTTTACAAATGTGTTCTGTCAAACTAAATCAGGCATGCACAAGATTTTTAGCTCAGTGAATTACAAAATACTGAGCAGCAATTAGGTATTAATGCATTATACATACATATCAGTAACTGTAAATATTGAAAAAGCTTGAGTACCTAACTTAAGAACAATCATAAAAACTGTCTAAAGATTGCTCTCATAACAATTTGGTTCTATCACTAGTTGTTACATGGATGTATTTTTGGCCCCAGTCACATCTTTAGATCATCAGGTCAATCAGGTCCGCTAAAAAGCCTCAAATAGTGACTCACAGGGTTCTTTCTTACAAGTATCCATAAGAAACCATAAGATGTAGGCTGCATGTTTTTTTATTTATGAAAAAAAATTCTCATAGTCTAAACTTTTTTTTAAAATCCTGTCTTATGTTTTTTTTTTTCATTTCATGCATGACTCTGTGACTTATTTTCCCCAAATTTTTTCCAGGACTTGACTCTCCTTCTCAACTTGTGGTGACTGGCATCCTTATCGCGGTCGGACTGCTGCTGCTCGTCACTTTCGTCTTTGTGGCGGTCTACTGCATACGGTAAGAACTAATGACATAAAAAGGGCAGATTTGTAAAAGAGGAAAAAAGTTGGCAGCAAAACAGGAAATGGAAGAAGAAAGGAGGAAATTGAAGGGACTCGTACCAAAAGCGACTATGACCCCAATTTTGTGACTTTGCTCCTGCTTTGTTCTGTTGTTTACTCAAATCATATCTAATCTGCGTTGGATTTACTCTGTTAGTCACACCAAGCCCAGACACAAAGCAAGATGTCTTCTGCTTACACAGCTAAAAGTTACCCCCGCTCATTATAACAGTTTTCCGCAGGCTTCATTGTTTCGATAAATACTCTTGGATCCCATCAGAGGAGAGAAGAGGGAGGGATGCGGGTGGAGCAGAGGGCAGAGAGAGAGAGAGAGGCAGGATACAGACGTCCCAGCCCGTTTTCCAACAGGACAGGCGAACAATAGCTGTGACCTTGTGACACATGTGCACGCTCACACGCACACACACCAGTGGAAGAGGCCCAGATCTGCCACTAAACCAAGGGTGGTGCATTACTGCTATTTTAGGCTTATGAGGTGGAGGAGGGAGCGAGAAATGGTGGAAGGCAGAGATCCAGTCGCTACAGGGCTGGTCCAGTCTTGTATCAGGGTGATTTTTGTGCTGCAGCTGAATTGTAATGGCACAGCTTGTGTGAAAGACTGTTAGAACTGCAAAGGGGGTTATCATACATACGCACTGCCGTCATCCTAAGTCACTGTGGTTTGTGTGAAAATAAGCAGCTACATGGAGTTGGCGTCACAAAGGGGTTTTTCTGCAGCACAACTGGAGGTTTTGTGTCAAAGCATAATAAATGATGCTTTTGTTTTTTGGAGCAGTGTGTTCTTAGAGGCTGTTGACTCGAGGGGATTGCTCTGTCACTGAACCTGACCCTTCACCTTCCAGCGCAGAGGGCCAATAAGAGCACAACACTCCCTTAAGAGAGATTCATAGTTTAGTTATGACTCTGGCCATCGTACATTTATTATGTGGTTCCAATAATGACCGAACCATTTGTTATTTTCTGTTTTTGCGAAAACTGCTTATGGTGCAACCTCTTGTTATTTCATCTCGACAGTGGCATTGTCAGACCACTGATTTGCATCGTGTTAGAGCGATAAAGGATTAGAATGGCTTTCTACAAAATAATGTCTAACATTCAGTTTAGAGATAACTGTGCTGCTGTCCTAATCTTCTCACATTTATCCTGATCTCTTTCTACCTGCAGCAGACACGGCAGAATAAAGGATCCTGAACTGGGCGACAAAACCAGCCACTACCTTATTGGCCAAGGTAAAGATCAAGGACACATGTCCCTGTGATTTACAGTTCATACAAGTCAGGAAGAGACATTATTATGCGACTCTCAATATGATTTTTGTTCAAACATTTCTTGTTCTTCCTTTCCCACGACTCTGTTTGTCTTTGTTTTAAAGGGGTCAAGGTTTATATCGACCCTTTCACCTACGAGGACCCAAATGAGGCAGTGCGAGAATTTGCTAAGGAAATTGATGTTTCCTTTGTCAAGATTGAAGAGGTCATTGGCGCTGGTAAGTGCCATGATTTATAAATGTTTAAAACTACATCTTTCTGCCCCTGTTCATCACTTAACTGGCCTCTCACGTCAGTATTAAACAATAAGGAGATAATCAATTGAAGTTTGTTATTCTTAGACAATCAATTCTGCAGATACCCAAAACTAAGCAATTAACTGATATACATTTTGGTCTGATTAGCAGCCAACAATCAAATCAAAGAGCAGTACCAGCCAGCGGCTATTTACGCAGCATGAAGAGAAAATGTCCCTTGTTAATGTTGTAAACAGAGGCAATTCTTCTTTATTGTTTTTTGTTATTAGGAGAATTTGGGGAGGTGTGTCGCGGACGGCTGAAGATCCCAGGGAAAAAAGAAAATTATGTTGCCATAAAGACGCTGAAGGGGGGTTACACTGAAAAGCAGAGGCGGGACTTCCTGTCTGAGGCGTCAATCATGGGCCAGTTTCAGCACCCCAACATCATTCACCTGGAGGGCATCATCACAGCCAGCTGCCCTGTCATGATCATCACCGAGTTCATGGAGAATGGGGCACTGGACTCCTTCCTGCGGGTGTGTGTAGCTCTGTACACACAACATGGATCACAAACACACACTATAACACACCAACACTGCATCATAAAGACACACAACACAGATAAATAGATAGATACTTTATTGATCCCCGTATGAGAAATTCGGGTGTCCAGCAGCAGAAGACCCCTCCAGTACAGTCTGACAGCCGAAAGAACAAAGGATCTCACATGAGCCATACCAAACCATAGTTTGTAGAGGGAGTGGACTCGACTGCTGATGTCAACCATATAGTTTGCCCTATGGAGGAAGAACCTCAAACAGCTTCCAAAGAGGATATCTGGAGACATATTTGTGGGTTCTGGGTAGCAACGATATCAGTTACAGAGTAAGAGAACTTTATTTTCTAAATCAAGTGAATGGGAACCAAGACAAGTTGGAGCAAAACTTCATCCTGAGGGAAATTGGGCTTCATTGAGCTTGTGTTTAGCATTGTCCATCTACATTCAGTCCATGTATTAAACACACACTATGGTCACACAATACATGCCCCATATCCAACACACACTGTTGTCCCCTCAAATTAACTGTTACTCTCTTTGTAGATGAACGACAGTCAGTTCACTCCCATCCAGCTGGTGGGGATGCTGCGTGGCATTGCCTCTGGCATGAAGTACTTGTCAGAGATGAGCTATGTTCACCGAGACCTCGCTGCCCGCAACATCCTGATCAACAGCAACCTGGTGTGCAAGGTGTCAGACTTCGGCCTGTCGCGCTTTCTGCAGGAGAACTCCTCAGACCCCACGTACACCAGCTCACTGGTGAGGAAGGCCCCCACTCACACTGATCTGACAAAAACACGTTTTTAGACTTGTTGCATGTACTGTATATACACACTTAAAGGGGACATATCATGAAAAATCCACTTTTTGTGTCTTAAATGCCTTATGTTGTGTAGTTGGAGCATCTAGAAGTGCAAAAAAGTTGAAATCAGTCTCTTCATGGGTTGCAGAGAACACTTCATATTCTGTTTGGTTAAGATTTTTCAACCCGTTCTGATTTTGCCATTCTCTATTACGTGTTTGGAATTATTACGTCACAGTATTTGCAGCGAGACTGCTATATAAGGGCATGGGCGTCTAACAAAACACTTCGGCCCAGCCCTCTACTGTGCATCACTTCGAATTTGTAGTCCAAGCTCAAGGATGCCAGCGAACATGTACAGGGCTGGACTGGCCATCGGGCGTACCGGGCAATGCCCAAAGGGCCGATGCCCATCGTTGGGCCGGTCTGTCTGCCTCATACAAAACACATGTTTATGAGAAGTGTAAATCCGTTGAGAATTGTTCGAGCGGGGCGCCCGTATCCGCGGGGCACCTGCTGTATGCACTTGAACGGGATTCCGCCACCTCAGCGGCTGTAGTGTTCCGGGGCATCTGCGGCCGCTTTGTAATGAGCAGCTTCCGCGTCCAGCGGCTGCGAGAGGCTGTGAGCGCGCAGCCTCAACGTGGCCATGTACCCAACCCCATAAACGCGCACAGGACCATGCGTGTCTTTGAGTAATCTGTGCACCCAATAAATACACTGCTGCAGGAAACAGTCCGCGTCTCCCCTCTCCTCTCGAAGCGCGATTAAACGCCCTAAATAAAGCTCTGATACCTAAATTTTGCATTGCATTAAAAGTTCATGTTTGAGCCCAAAAGTAATATGTTGTGAACAAATTAAACAGTTTTAGAGCCAGCTAATGGCTGACAATATGCATTTCAGTCTTTTTTGACCAATTCTCATCCCTGTAACAAACAATAGTGTTGTCTGTGTCCACCTCCCTCACTCTGAGACATGTTTATTACCCTCTTGTAATGTAGACTATTGCATTTTATTTTATTGTTGAAACTGCACATATCCTGATCCTCTACAGTATTTGCTTCCACATACTGTATAAACTAGGAGTCGGCAACCTGCGGCTCCGGAGGTGCATGCGTCTTTTTCCTTCTGTAGAAGGAAAAACCTTCTTAACGTTTTTAAATGCTGTAAAATTGTGCATAAGTAATATTCAATTTAAACATTTCTGTCAACGTAGTGCGTCTTATCCTGCGACGTAGGCCCGCGCCAGGCGGCCGCTGTTGTAAACAAACCGGCATGTGAGCTCTGCTTGTGTACAAGTCTCTCCATGGCCTCGCTCCAAAATATATTAGTGACATGTTAGTACCATACGAACCAGCCTGGACTCTGAGGAGCACAGGGACTGGACTCCTGTTAGTGCCCAGAGTCAGGACTAAACATGGGGAGGCTTTTCAGATTCATGCTGCTAAAATCTGGAACAGTCTTCCTGAAGATGTGAGACAGGCCTCCTCTCTGACAATGTTTAAAACCAGGTTAAAAACAGTTCTGTTTAGCTGTGCATACAACTGTGGGATTTTATATTTTTATCTTTCTTTTTTAATGTTCTGTGATTATTTATGATTTTAATGCTTTCATATTTTGTTCAGCACTTTGAATTGCCTTGTGTATGAATTGTGCTATATAAATAACTTTCCTTTCCTTGCCTTGACTGTGCGCATGGATCCCAAAGCTAAAAAGAGAAGAGTCGATAATAAGACTGGACTAAGAATGAAAATTAACATTTGCTTTCAGTCAATGAGGAAGGACTGCTTCATGTTTGCGATGTAATGAGAAGTTTCTATGAGATAATTGTATCTGTGCTTAGTAACTACAAAAATGGCCGCTCGGGGTGGAGTTGAACCTGTGTCACCTGGATGGGGGCGTGGTCAAAAGCGCCTCATTTGCATTTAAAGAGACAGCACCAAAACAGGTTGCTCTCAGATGCACCTCAGAACAGGTGTAAAAGAAAGGCCCGTGGAGCTACAAATAATGAGACTCAGACCCAGGCATTGCAGTTACGCTTTATATAGGCCACAAATTAATGATTTAGATGTAAAAATCAATTATTTGAAAACACGATATGTCCACTTTAAGAATGATAAGATTATTCCATGATGCAATATAAGTCAACAATACTGGGGGTTCTTTAATTGTCATTATACATTATACAACAAAATCACATAGATCAGATAGACTTGAGCTGGTGCAGTACTGCTGGTGGTTGAAGACACCACAGCACCGGCCGTAAAGGAGTTGAACCCAGGATTACTTGTTGGCTCTTGCCACTCAGTCACCATGTCACCTAATAAGCTTTAGAGATATCTCTAAAATTGCATGAACAAGCCATGCTAAATGGCTGTTCATATTTACAAAACATTCAGGTTATAGAATGCATATGTCTAGGATATTTTGTTATCAAATCCCACACCTTCCTCCTGCCCGTTTCTTTCAAAAGAGATTATTTTACAGGCCCACTTCCGCAACATTGTACTCCATCTTGGTCAGACAATGACTGTTTGTATTTTTTCTCACTGTATTCATTGCTTTTAGGGCGGAAAGATTCCCATCCGGTGGACTGCGCCAGAAGCCATTGCCTTCAGAAAGTTTACGTCCGCCTCAGACGTATGGAGCTACGGCATCGTTATGTGGGAAGTCATGTCCTTCGGGGAGAGGCCGTACTGGGACATGAGCAACCAGGATGTAAGTCGGGGCTTTAAATGCAGACTGTGAAGGCCTCAGCGGGGGGCACCGTTCTGTTGGCTGTCTCAATCATGAGCAGCTGAGCCTCGCTCAAAAGACTTTAAAGAGGAAGAAGATTGTTTTGAAATGTGTTTTGCAACTTATTATTTTATTTTATTGTTATGAATGCTTCAATTATGCATCCCCTGGTTCTCAACGTGCGAATGTGACTAAATTTACATAATATTTATCACAAACACTGTATGGAATCAATGAGGACGCTTTAATTCACACACACAATTCAAATAATTGTTTTGATGCTTCATTATCACTTCTTTCAATTTATCCCGCATTACAGCAGGTCATAGGTTGAATCATGCTTTCATGGTTCCTGTCTGAAAAGTTTAAGAACCCTTGGTCTCTTCACGCCCATCATAACAGTTTCCCTTGTATTTCACTCAGCAACATTTTATTTGTATTTTTTAAATGTCTTCTTTTTTTCACCCCTGCTATCTTTGTTCTGTTGTTGTAGGTAATAAACGCTATAGAGCAGGACTACCGCCTACCCCCTCCTCCTGACTGCCCCACACACTTGCACCAGCTCATGTTGGACTGCTGGCAGAAGGACCGCTCGGCTCGTCCACGCTTCTCCGATCTCGTCAGTGCTTTGGACAAACTCATCCGCAACCCAGCGTCACTCAAAATAGTCGCCCAGGAAGCTGCGGGGTAAGAATGTGCAATGATTGACAGGAAGCTCACATACATTTGGACAGGCTGTGAATAAAAGTATATCTCAGGAATGTAGAGTATGGAGTTGGAATGTAGTGCCCTTTCAAAATGTCCTCTTTATCAGCGCTCTGACAGTAGCAGGGCAGACATTGCACTCATACCATCCGCTGTTGTGCACCTTGGCGTCCCGCTGGGAGCCGACAGACACTTGCTGGGCCCATTTCCCTTCCTCCACGTTGTCCCTCAGCACTGATGGGACACAGCAGAGGACGCTCCACCCCTGACAAATCCCATTGTTTGTCTCTGTCACTCACCGCTCAGATTATACCTCAGCATGGCTCACTGGAATGTGCTGCAGGATATGTATAAAGCCAATGCTCCTGTTTCTGCGTCTCTAAGAAAGTCTTTTGTCTTTGCCCCCCCTCCAGGCCGGCCTACCCCCTGCTCGACCAGCGCGCACCTCTCGCCCCCTCGTCCTGCTCCTCAGTGGGAGAGTGGCTCAGGGCTATCAAGATGGAGCGCTATGAGGACAGTTTCCTCCAGGCGGGCGTCACCTCTGTGGACCAACTGGCCCAGATCAGCACACAGTCAGTACCTATCTTATCTCGGGCCACATTCATCTTACACCTGTCACCATGCACTTAATCTATCTAAAGCTTTCAGTGCTGCAATCAGGCCCAAGTCAGGACCCCCGATTCAGTGGTGAAAACTTGGCCTAAGAGGCTATTCCAATGCAATCATAGAGTAATATGAGAGGGGATGTATTTGCTGGTCTAATAATTCAGTTGCTGTCAGCGGAATTCATTAATCATTTTGAGTACATGTGCTGTATAATTTAGTGACTGTTGGAAATGTAATGTAAAGCCTTTCACTAATTTGTCCTTGTTTATTCAAATTTTAGTTTTTTAAATTACTATATGCCCACTACTTACTCTACTCATTTTTCTAGAACAGCTGTCCTCAATTTCATTCATTACAATAGATCAGCCAACCATTACATAATGTAAAGATTTAACCCATGAGATCCTGAATCCAGGTCACTTTCTCAAATTAGGTAAGATAAACTTTATTGATCTCACAATGGAGACATTTGGCATATATAGACTCACTCAGGGTGTGCATTAGACAGGAAGTGTACAAACATGTTAAAAGGTTCAAATATAGTCTCTACAGATATATTATGTACAATCAAATTAAAAGTTTGATTGCTGTGCGAGTTTTTCAGTCCTAGTGCAGGTCATTAAAGTGACTTATTGTACAGTCTGACTACACACAGACCTGGCTTCCCACAACCTTTTCCATCTTTATTCATTTGTTTCCTGCTATTGATTTTACCAGTACTCAATCTCAGGGTTAGGGTTCAAGTGCCAGGGCTCCACCTTTTTTTTTTTTTTTTTTTTTCACATCAATTTTACGAAACAATCTGGATTCAATTGAATACTAAAACTGGCTTTCCATATTGTTTTTGTAATCGTTGAATGGTTTGTCTGTGCAGAGACTTGCTGCACATGGGGGTGACTTTGGCCGGCCATCAGAGGAAGATCCTGTGCAGCATCCAGACTATGACTTTTCGAAACAAGAGCACTACCACAGTCACCTTCTAGTCCCTGCGCTGCTCACCTGTCTCCCAACTCGGACACAAACACTGGCGCACAGGTGCAGTGTGGCGAAGGCCCACTCAATCATCTCCGCTGACCCACTTTGGGCATGGACTCGGGGAGAGATTGATCGAGTTTACTAATGACCAGAAAAAACACACAAATGAATACGGATGACTTTTCCCGTCAGCTCGGGGAGTTGTCTACGGAGCAGCTCGTCCCTGAAGGAGCTGCTGGAACGGAGTCGCACGGACTGCCAGCGTTTTTACAGACATTTTGTACCTTCGTGAGGTTTAGAATTCAATAAATGTGTAAAACAAAGAGAGAAGAGACACTGAATTTATAGTGTTTGTATTTTGTCATGTCAAAACATCTCAAAAGAGAACAAACTACTTTTGCCAAAGGAGACAAAAAGCAAACAGAAGATGTTTGTTTTACATGATGTGCTGTTATTGTAAGGCTTTGTTCACATCTCATTCAAATCTAGCTAAACATTTGGACTGTTCTGATCATCTCCATTACCTCGTTTACTCAGGTGTGATTTTGGAGACCACTGTATCAATCATTCGCGACTCTTCCTTAGAGCGGCAGAGGGGAGGAGACAGACCTAAACGTTTAGCACTTTTGGTGAACTGTAGTCTTGGGTTGCTCTACTTGTTTCGCTTGGTTTGTGGTTGGGTATTTCCACTGCCGGCTGTTTCTGTTGGCAGCTTCTAACTCTGATTGAAGGACCAAGTGGACACACACGGAGACCAGAGAACACTGTAGTAATTCTCTGTTTTTCTACTCTGTATGTAATCACCCATCTTCCAGTGCCAGTCGGTCATGTTCGCGCCAATTTTACGAATGATTAGATTTGTCTGATTTTAATCTACTCTGGGGGTTATTTTTCATTTGAATTTATCACTGGTTCCATGCTTTATATGCTACACACAGTTAATAAACATTTGTAAACCATTAGGAATAGCGTAGAATGCAAACATGCTTTCTGCCGGTTTCCAATGGTTCCCCAGAAGAATGCTAACAGTATTGTTGGACTAGTAGCACAGACGGACTCTTGACTTTTTTACAAGTGCTCATTGGTGAAGAACAACAGGCTGCAGTCCAAATGTCAAAGTATTTCTCCAAGACTTTGCATCTCTCAAAGATAATACCAGCCTTTTTGACATTTAGGTGCTGTATAATTTGCTCCATCCATCTGACACGCAGATCTTAATCTATTTCACAGTGCAATAGTTCTGTAGTAAACAGTGCTTTTCTCCAACTAATTTATAAAAACAAATATTACAAGCTCCTTAATGTATAGCTTTATCTTCTTCATGTTAAAGGTAGAATGTATTTGTATTTTTCTAATATACAAGAAAGCCACAGCATACAACGTATTTTTCAAGTGTTTTTTGTTTATTATCTTGGGTTCTGGCTTCAACCATTATTCAGACATTTAAAGAATCTAAAGCAAAACTAATAATGTTGATATTGTAATTGGTATCTTTGTAAGTGTGCCTTATTGGCCCTTGCTCACTGTGCACCCACTCCAAGGCACATAGCACCTGGTTTAGGCTTGAAATGGTAACAAAACAAATTTAACAATTTTCCCCACGATTATTTTTACTTTGTACTGTATAATTTTTGCCTTAAACAAAAATCCTGGTGTTGTCATTCTCTGTCGTATATGGAAAAGCTTAAAATGAACGTGGTCTTCATATTGAAGATCTCAATACAATAAGTCTGAGTGAGAAACTGGACACAGTATGTTTTCAATACCATCATGTGTGTAGACAAATGTGTACTCAGTATTCATAATAAAATACAGCGGTGTTCTCAACTCTTTCACTTTGATTCATTATTTCACATTGACTGGACTTTATCTCAGTCTCAGCAGCTGTGTCTTGACCTCGATTGCATGTCCATAATCATCTATAGATATAAATACTTCACTTGGGGCTTGTTCTGATTCCTTGTACTTGGGATTGTGTGCAAAATCAATAAACAATCACGTAAAGCCTCTATTATCGGAAAAGAGAAAATAAGCAATTTTTACACATTTATTAAGAAATTATTATTATAAATGTTCACAACAGTTTGGGTTCACATAGAGTTATCCTTACTGTTTGAAAGAAAAGTTGTTTTTTAATGAAGTTAAGAAAATGAAAGAAATACTGTCAGGATATTGTAAATGACTGATGTAGAGTCACAAGAACCATTACTCCACTTTTTTTTATACTACAGTGTGTTAGATAAATGTGTCAAAAGGTTGATGATTAGAAAACCCTGATGTCAGTGGGGTTATGCTCAATATCTTGAATCTTAAATCTAATATTTATCTTATAACTAATTTGTCTGGTTGACCTTAAACAGTTGAATGGTAAGACCCAGGACTAAACTATCCACATAGAACCAGAAGAAATCTATAACAAAAAGATGTATAAATTAATATGTTCAAGATCCTTGAATTCAACAGATTATCATATTACTATATTACATATGGCCGTATGAAACATTTTCATGTTATATTTATTTTTATTTAAGTTTATTTGAATAGGGACAAGTATGTCACATAAGCTCATGTTACATACTACAACATTTTAGCCAAAGCTAATTCTCAATGTCCGTCCCTAGTTGGGCCTTTACATAAAAATTAAAAAAATTATATTACATCATAATTTCTATGGGTCCCCAGGTTCTGTGTGCAAATCATATTTGAACTTATCTGGACAAAAGCTTTGAGTCATTCTGAATTAAAAATACAATGGACATAATTATAATCCAATCAGAAAGCACATTGAGTCTCTCACTTGCTGGTTTTGGCTAAAACACAATTTATTTTTCATTTCAACATTTACAGACAAAAGATCGCACCACACCATTTGTTTAAATGAACGCAAAGTTTTTAACATTTATAGCTAAACCCAGGAGGTGGGTTGCATCAGTAATCAGTGCTTAGGAGCTACACATCACAGGCAGGAAGATTCTGGCAAAAAAGTCACATTGTAATCGTTATGACTAATAAAGAAAGCTAAGAGCTAAGGGCGGCACGGTGGCTGAGTGGCTAGCACTCTCGCCTCTCAGCAAGAAGGTCCTGGGTTCGATTCCCGGTCGGACCAGGGCCTTTCTGAGTGGAGTTTGCATGTTCTCCCCGTGTCTGCGTAGGTTTCCTCCGGGTACTCCGGTTTCCCCTACCACTAAAAATATGTACAATAGGTCTGGCATGCGCCTTGTGTACTGGCGACCCTGCTCCCATCTCTGTGTGGACAAATACCCAAAAATAACAATTGTAAACCGCTTTGAGACTCAGATTTGCAGTGAAAAAGGCGGTATATAAATAAAGATTACTAAGACGGTCCCTTTAGTTGTATTCATAAACAATTCGTATGTGGTATGGAAGGTAAAATGCATATAATCTGTGACTCTAGATAATATTCAGCACAAATAGATAACATTCCAAAGCAGAATCTCAATTTCCTCTTGTTATTTTTCTGCTTCTATCTTGATTTTGATAACAGCAGTCCTAAAACTGAGATCACAGACACGATCATGTCACTACAGTGTTGTGCAAGGCTATCATTTGCGTCTCTGGTTGCAAACAAGCCTCTCATCTCTCCTCCTGTTTTTAATAATGAGGAAAGCGGAGACTGTCGTGGTCGAGGCGAATGGTTCTCCTCAGCTCTTGTATTTCTCCAGAGGTTTTTCAGCCTCCAGGGCGGCTGCCTTGTCCTCGTGCATGTTCCCCTTCTGGTCCTCAGCACTTTTAATCATAAAGAGATGTCCTATTCTTCTGCACGCCCCAGGCTCTGAGCAGCTTATAGCACAAGCTTCAAAAGTCTTTCACACATACAAGGCGGCTACAGTGCTGAAGTTTTACTGAGGTGTGAAAGGATGCTGATAATGTGGTTTTGTAGTGTGAGTCTTATGGCAGCTGCAATATTCTCTAAAATTATGCTAGGTGTATATTGAGGTTTGTTTAACCCCGTTGGGCTTGGCTGGTCTACTGCTGGAACCAAATCTTGAGCATTTTTGCAGCAAAGTACAGTTAGCAAAAAAAAAAAAACTAGTCTTCAGGTAGGAGAACGAGGGGAAAATGCGTACATTGTTCCAAAAGTCATTTATGTAATTTTTGTGATTTTTCCAGCATCTCCTCATAGAAGCATTTTGATCCAAGTCTGGTTCTTGTGGGACTGAAGTGAGACTGTGTTTTTTGGTACTTAAAAGTAAAAGTAGGGACTATGGGTACAGTCAAAAATCAATTCCGATAAAAGTTTTCACATTTAATTCTAAACATGAGAGTTTATTAGTGTAGTTAAAGTAATTCCCTTACTTCAGTATAAGTATAACAGTGCAATTGTTTATATGTGGCCTATTTAAGTAAGAAAGTAAAAAGCATTGCAATCGAGTCATTTTAACCATTGTATTGTTATTGCTGTTTGTATCATACTGACAGAAGCTCCAAACCTGTCTGATATATCACCACCAGCAAAGTAACAATAGTTTATCTAAAATGTTAAACTAGAAAGTACAAATATTTGGGTTTGAAAAGAAAGAAAAGTTAAGTACTCATACCAGCGAAACATACGGAACCCTAACCCTAACTTAACCCTGTCTGCAACAAAGCAAGAATAATATAATTTACTACTCAAAGGACTGTCCCAGTACGACAGTTTGAGAACCTCGGATGAATCGATAGGGGGCAGTGCAATAGGGAGCAGTGCAATAGGGAGCAGTGCAATAGGGAGCAGTGCAATAGGGAGCAGTGCAATAGGGAGCAGTGCAATAGGGGGCAGTGCAATAGGGGGCAGTGCAATAGGGAGTAGTGCAATAGGGGGCAGTGCATTAGGGAGTAGTGCAATAGGGAGCAGTGCAATAGGGGGCAGTGCAATAGGGAGCAGTGCAATAGGGAGCAGTGCAATAGGGAGCAGTGCAATAGGGGGCAGTGCAATAGGGAGTAGTGCAATAGGGGGCAGTGCAATAGGGGGCAGTGCAATAGGGAGCAGTGCAATAGGGAGCAGTGC